TATAAATCTAATTTATTATTGTCCAGTATCTGCAAACGCTTCCCCAGTATATTAAAAGTATTTTTCTGTCAAATACGTGAAACAGTGACGGCACAGATGAATGCAAAGTTGGGTGGAATATCATGAAAATATATTTTCGTGCTTTGAAAATAAACTGCATTCGCTATCTGTTTGCCACGCACTGGAACTTAGGTTAGATCAATAAGTACCTCTTAATGCGCATAGTGAATGAAAAATGGGTTTTCGTGCCCTACGCTTAAACGCATTGAAACGTCAAAGATATATATTGTAGTACCACACTGCAATAACCAATAATAAAAGTTTATTTTTGATTCCGCCATCTTCCTTCAATCACCTACGTGTGTTCATAATAACAAATTGACTTCTTCAGTACATATACATAATGCGTAGCAAAATTTTAAATAGATCCCATTAGCTATACTGAAATTATAACATTACTTATATTGCAGACACATGTTAAAATCTACATAAAATAGAACTTAAATTGCCTTTTTAATCAATTATCAAACCAAAGCATTCTGGATTTTGGGCTTTCTAAGAAATAATTAGATTTGTTTGAAACGTTTAGACAATGGGAAGCCTACATAAGACATTAGACATCGATAACTGTCAGTGTGTTATCGCACCAGTCATTTGAATTAGATTTAAGATAATTTTTAAAAAACGTTCTGTCTTCTTATGCATAATATTTGGAAACACAGTGTTTGGTTTTGGTAAATTTATATTTGCAAGGAACTACGCTGAACGTAGCACAAACACGTACCTCTAAAGCTTGTATCGAAATCCAAATCTGCGTAGCTCATTATACATAGAGGATGCAGACGTACAGTGCATGTCTGTTGTAGTTCGTCTAAGATATTTTTATATTTAAATTCTGCAAGTGAAGCCATTTTTTAAAGGAAATTCGTTCTTTACGTTTTGTAGATACAGAAACGCTCGGTCAATATCTGGAAAAGATTGGTGGTTGCTTTGATTTCAAATTTTTCGACGATAAAGGTAAGCAGTTCAGTTTAGGCATTACGAAAATCAAAAGCATTCAAAAGACTCTGCCTGTCATATATATATAGTCATGTTAATATATATATATATATAAATATGGGAAGAAGAGGTGATCTCGGGAATAATGGGTATAATATCCTGACGTTTCGAAA